CTGCGATGCTTGCTTGCCTGGTGTCATCCGGACAGGATGCCTAGAGTAAACCATGTCCCGTCTGTAGTGATAGCATAAAGAGGTTCCTAGTGTTCTTCAGAATACCCGCGGGTGCACAATTTGCATGCGTGTCACGAAAATTGAACCGGCCGCTGGTTTAAGTTTCAGTCGTTGGTCTGTTGATGCGTCGACGCGTTGCTGGCCCTAGCAACTGAGCTGTCAACCGGGGAGGCAGCGATTCCTGAGATCTCGAACTTGAAATGGTGAAAACCCCCTCTCAGTACGCGAGTGTATATTTACACAGTGGGCTGGGCGATTTGGACTTGAACAACAATAAGTCAGACAAGTCCGGCAGTCATCTCTCTCGGTAGCAAAACACAGAGGCTTCTGTGACCAACGACCGTGTCTAGCCTTGAGCCTCATAAGCATGGCCATTTCTGGGTTTGTGAGGCACTCGGTCTTTTCCGTCGCCGCCAGTTACCGTGCTTTCACCAATTATTTGAAGGCGTATTCTTACCGAATGTACTGTCTTCTCAATACAGCTCTTCTCTAGTATGAGTCCTAAATCTAGAACAAACGCCTCACTCGGTAGGATCTGACTTGCCAAGCAACTGCAACTCAGAAGAGAATTCGAGGGACGAGCTCATTCGCTTGACTAGATCCAACATTTCTGTGTCGTCGGAGATTACTTATACCCTTACACTCGATACCAAACTACAGGAGCACGCGACGGTGTTCACATGACGTACCTGTGGGACTCGCGAAATTCCACGATACTTTGAGTCCGTTTAAATATGTCGCCTGGTGGTGTGTTTGGATCTCCAGACAATGGAAGTTGTCCCTACCTGCTGACAACGGCGCCGAGCCGAACACCAGCAACTACTACGTCTTAGCGGCCTCCTGGCAGTGAACGCTGCAACTATCCGTTTCCCGCCGTTCGTCGTTACATCTTTTTGTTTATTCGGTGTTGTTATCAGTCTTTCTGTGAACATTGTCTTTGATATCCATGGATACGAGCAGGGATATTTATATATCCTTTTGAACCTCCTACACTATCACACTCTCGAGCACATCTCGGCACTAAACCAGACGTCAAACGACAGCCCACATGGGAATATTTCCTCGATTCATTGTCTTCAGGTTCTCTATATCTTTATATGAATGGTTTAAATATACCTACAAGTCTTGTTTGACGTAAAGTAAAGCAGAATCTTGAGCCGCGGCACCGTACAAAGTCAAAACCAGACAAGTTGCGTGTGGCTTGTGTCAAAGCTTGCATGTGGTCTCCCTAACTAAGTCCAAGGCCAATAACTTCAGTATTCACTGGATGCAGCGTGCGGTCTACTTATAAAGTACCTGGCTGGCAGATTCAAGTAGGCAATTAAACAGGAAGATGATTTGCTGCCCTACGTCCGTCTCGTTAGCTCACTTAGTATCTCTGGTCTTTGGCTAAGCTAAACAGAATGTCTTCCTGTCGTAGTCTGTAGCAATAGTACATATGTACATCTTTTGCAGTCCCCCATTTTGCGTTGTTGATTTGGCTCTCATACTATAGATCCAATGTTTTACATCTGGTACTATCTTGCAATGGTTCATGGAGTGTCGCCCCGTGCTCTCTACCGCTCTGGTATCTAGACTTTCCTAGAGTTGAATCCTACGACCAAGGAACATTCAGAGATGTTTTGCCACCCGGCATTTCTGGTGAAGAACATATCAATTGAAAGGGTCCACAAGAGCATTTAAATACCTTGGATACTATAGCTGACTATAGCAAGCTGCAAAGCAAACTGACTGTGTTTTTGTGTCAAAGCCTAGCTTGATCGAATCGATGAACTTAATTAGAAGCTGATTCAAGGTTGAAATCACCAACGCATATCGCCATTGAATCATTGATTGATGTCTCAATTGGGCTGACTGAGCCGCCAATGTTGGTCTTGAGACTCTGGACAAGGTATCGGCTCTATATTTGTAAAATAAATGACATTTGGCCCACGACTTGGCCAGCCGCTGGTGAGAGTTTTCTTCTGCTTCTTGGTGCATAGTGCAGCGAGATTCTCTACATGTCCCCTTCGTAGTCCGTCATCATCATTAGTTGATACAGCTCCCGTGTTCGATCACCAATTTCCTCCAGCATTGGCTTTCTCACTACGGCACGTTGTAGTCTCATATCTTTGTCTTTAACACGTCTCCACTGGGCCTTACTGAACCAAGCTGCGACAAACATTTACGACTGTTCTGGTGTCGGGGAGGGATGTCACCCGAGAACTCTTCACCACAGCGTTTTAAACTAATAATTTACGGACCCGCGTAGGATATCAAGATCGACGAACAATTACTGGAGCAATTGAGTTGCGTGCTGATTCAATTGATCCGAACAAACTCAGCACACGTATGAATGAATGGGACATCCGTGGCGCTGTGGCTTGCTCTTCTGTGGCGTCCACCGAGATCACCTCGCCTTGGATGTGCCCAAGAATGACGCAGTGCTCAAGATATGGGAGTCACTTCAGCTAGCCACGATTCCCGGCGGCGACGTAAAGTCAGCCGGCAAGAGGACTAGTATCTGACCACGGGCGGGGGCCCCTTGGTTGGGGCTCCTGTTGGGAAGAGGGGCAAGGAAAAAGCAAAGGTAAAAAATGACCGGACCACAGGGAAAAGAACCGGCTTGCAAAAGAAAGCCATCTGAATCAGATATCACATTGTGTGTTTACTCGATGTTGATTTATGAGACAATACAAGGCCGTCTGTTCGCATTGTGCTACCGTCAGTGCTCATATCGTGGTAGTGGACAAAGGCTAGAATGTATCCAATGCCACTACTAATGTCTTGGGATAACGAACGCGGCCGATAGGCCTGGCTATCTTCCTTTCCATGCGCCTGTTGACCGAGTCCTTCCTTTTGGGTGTTTCAACCAGACAGCCGCCGTTGTTACCAGCGGCCGGAGCAATACGCGTACCTTGGTCAAAGGACGGTGGTTCCATGGTTGGTGGCACGGTCGCGACTTCGCGGCTAACGCCTAGGTGGCCGGCCCCTGGCAGCGCCTGCCAAGAGAAGAGGCAGATCCGCCCTGGAGGCCCCGAAGCATGTCGGTGTCATGGTGATTCTAACATCTTGCCTAAGGATGGTGATTTCATGAAGCAAGAAGCAGGCGATGTTGGATGAAAAAACCAGGCCCTGTTGTCGTGGGCGAATGAGTGAGCTTCCCAAGTGATTAGTAAGGCTAGGTACCTAAAGCACGGGGATAGAGTTATCGTCGGGCCGCCGCCCCAAGCGGCGCTTGATACGGAGTTTAGCCGAGTTCGCCCGAACGCGTCTGAGATGGTGGTCTGATCACCTGATTTAGGGGGATACATCAGCAGCACAGCTGACGTGACGGACGCCAGCAGAGAGTCATCAGTCATCGCTCCAACAAGGTTCCCCTCCGAAAGCCCAGAAAGAAACAGCCCAAAGGTGATAGATCTCAACGCCGTCTTGCTTATTCTCGCAATATCTATCAGATCAACATTGTGCCCCCAGTGGGTGCGTCCCCGCCCGCAAGGCAAGGCAAGGCAAGGCAAGGCAGCCCTCGTATCCACTACCCCGAGTACAACTGCGCTGTACCCCTGATCCACCCCGAGAAAGTGGGTCATCCACGGACCGTGAAGCAAAAAAAAAAAAAATTGGACATGCCGTTCTCACTTCCGTCTTCATCTCATCTCAACAAACAACTCCCTCTCACAAACAGCAACCTCGTTGTCCAACGACCGCGGCCTCCGTCGTCAGTCGACACCTCGGTCGCACTCACTACAACGAGCGCCTTCTTCTTCCCTGTCGCTGACCACGACGGCCACGGCCACGCGCACAACTACACGCAGCTCCTGCTGCCCACGCAAACCGCGACCTTCACCCAGCCGCCGCAACCGCAACGGCAATCGCCGCCGCCACCACAGCAGCAACAGCAGCAGCAGGAGCAGAAGCCCAGCATGCCTCGACGCGCCGCCCCGGAGCCCAAGCCGCGCAAGCCGCAGTACTCCCCGGAGAAGCGCGCGCGCATCGCCGTGCTCTCGGAGCTGGGCATGTCGCTCAAGGAGATCTCCGTCAAGGAGGACGTCCCCGTGTCCTCCATCAAGGGCATCGTCACGCGCTACCGCCTCCAGCAGGCCGGCCGCGACCGCCCCCGCCCCGGACGCCCGCGCATACTCTCCGACCGCGACGTCAAGACCGTCCTGCGCGTCCTCAAGGAGAAGCCCGACATCTCGTACGCCGAGCTGAAGCGCGACGCCAACCTCACCTGCGCCACCAAGACCCTCGTGCGCTATCTCCAGATGGAGGGCATCAAGCCCAACAAGCCGCCCCCGGGCGACTCCGAGGAGGAGGCCTCGAGGATGCGCGTGCTGGCTGAGCCTGAGCCTGCCGACGAGGAGTGAATGGCCCACGAGAGAGCCAGTTCTTCACGAAGCAAGCCGAGTCTGAGGATGAGTCGTCGTGCAAGCGATGAGATTCATCGGGCTTGGGCTTGGGACTATGAGTGGCAACTTCTTACGAGACGGACGACTTGTAAGCGACGCTTGCGGGAGAGTCACACGTGCATGAGCTGATGAGTATGACAGAATGAATATGATTACCGAAAGGCGAGGAGCAGGGAGTTGGGCGTTACCGCCACCATGCCGGGGGTTCACCCCAGGCGATTGAGTTTTGAGGAGCAGCATCATTAGCGAGAGCGCAGCCGCGAACAGGACCGGCAGACGGTGTACAGAACGTCAGCTTCAATTGCTTCAATACCAACAACCCTTCGACTTTCCTGCGCATGCGCGATGAGGCGCATGCTGAGTAGATCCCGCATGAGCGGCTCTGCGCTGGTCAGAGGAGGGGCTCTCATAACCATCTGACGTCAATTCATCTGATGGACATTGGTTTTGGGAGGATGTGTATCGAATAGACGGACCAAAAGACAGAAGTATGGCTACAAATCAACCAAGTTTTACGGGATTAATTACAAAGAAAGAATCCCGCTCACTCACCTAGTTATTCGTGTCCTTCGGTCCCATTACCTTGTCGACATGAGCCAGGTAGGTCATGCCGCCTTTCTCCTCAGAGCGATCCTTGGGCAGCATACCTTGAATCTTAGCCCTCACTCTCCACATCCCCCAATCCACATCAACGACCCTGCGATCAATAAACACCAACCGGCCGCCCTCCCTCACAGCCCCGCAAAACACCTTGACCCAGTTGACCTCCCCGTCAACCTCCCACTCGTCCACCTCCCAGTCACACATCTGCCAGCCCGGCGGCCGCACATACTTACCGCCGCTCCGCAGGCCCGCGATGACAAGGTCCTGCAGCTGCAGACAGCGGCTCATCTCCGCCGCGCCGCGCCGGATGCCGTCGTCTTCCGGCTTGCCGCGGGCACCGCGGTACCCGCGCCCGTACGACCGCAGGTCGAGGAACACCGTCTCCAGCTGCGGCATGACGCTCCAGTCCACCTGCAGCATGCTCGCGCCGGCCTCCACGAAGAACCGCATCCCGAAGCCGATCTTGGGCTCGGGGTTGCGCCGCAGGCGGAGCCGGAACCAGGGGTCTTTGGGGACGCTGTGGAACATCAGGTGGCGGGGCAGCTCGCACATCTGCGTTTCTGCTGTCGGTGCTGGAGGGTGGTCGAGCTTGTCTTGTTGTTCTGCGGGGTCATACTCACCAAAGACCAGGCCGCCGTGTGCCATGTACTTACCTATATCATCGTCGGGCGCCCGTGGAAAGATTTGGTGATAGCATTGAAGTCGGGTTCGCTCCAGGTCTTTCAGAGCCCAGTCCATGGCTGCGGGAAAGCGTGACTTGAGTTCTTCGATAGTCCGACATGGGATGTTATTTTTCAGAGGGAACGAGACGTGGTCCCCCTCGCGATGCACGTCACCAGACACGAAAGTCCCTTGACCGCCATTAACTCCCCGGGTGTAGACTTCGGTCCTCTGTAGATCATACGCGGCGTTCACCGGATCGTTTCCGTGAGAACAGACGCCCCATTCTGGGACAAATAGAGCAAAGACACAGGGGCTGCTGGTCGAGAGAAGCTCTACCAAGACGTTATGCTGGATTTCGACTGGCAAGTTAGTTAGTCGGTCGAGTACGGAAGGGCCAGGTTTGTCGCCCATGGTTGGCAGCTGAGTTTCCTTCCAGGTAGTCGACCGCGATGAGGCTTGAATTTCGAGACTTGCTCAGTGTGGTCTTCCAAGGCATCTTATACCCCAGACGCTGGTTTCTTCTTGATTCTCGTCACAGCGTGATCGATCGCGGCCTGGCCCGCTCCTTTGTTCTCCATGCCACAACAATGCCCCAGTTCTTCAACGCGAGAACAATGCCATTGGAACTCGGGCCTTGACCCTCGAGACCTGGAGGCCTGTGCCTGATCAAAGCCTCGAGCAGTGCGGGCCAACCAACTTGTTCTTGCCTCTGCTCCTGAACACATAGTCAGCGGTGATTGGCTCATAGAGCTTCCACGCGTCTGCAAGTTTCGCCCCAGCCAACGGTCTCGGGTAAAGGGCTCATGGAATTCGTACTCGTATGCCAAGGCTCAAATACTCATCTGGTCAAGCATGCCCCCTGTCAATGTGCTCCTAAAGCTATTGTCTAGAGCTGCAGAATCCCGAAGGCTTGACAAGCCTGGTCGTCGCAATATAGTCAGCTGCTACTCTGGTGCCTTTATCTCCAACTTATTCTGGAGTTATAACAACAGAAACAATCGACGATGACGTTGACCAGAGCCGAAAGTTGGTGTTGCCTCATTGATCAGTATCAGACACCCGAGCCCGGAGTCATTGCTCGTACTGTCTGCTTATGGGATGGGCTCAAGGATGGCTTCTCTTTCTCTCTGCAATAACTCCAGCCACATTGCTGTGGTGCTGGATGTAGACCTTGGGGATCAGCACTGTTGAAAGAACCCTAATCGCCAGCTGTCTGAGAGTAGGTAAACATTGATGATGCCGTCTTCCACTCGAAACAGGCTACGAAACGGGACGCCATTCAATATCATCATACTTGCAATACTATCATATTTGAATGCTTACGGCGCGATATAAAAACCGATCTTTTACTAGATTGTGATGGAGATTGTAAAAATGTGGCTTGTAGTTGTTCACGTACAACCGTCGAATATACAAGATCATCTTATACAGATCCACTCCCGCTACGCACGCTATGTCTGTTGTAGTAGATATTGCCTACTGAAGACCGATGCCACTGTCGCTACTACATGCTACGATTCGGAATACTCCTGGATGTCTAACGTCTATAGACAGAGCCAACCTCATTAGGCATTCGGGCTACTTATTATAACCGTTCATCAAAATGTCCATTGCTGTCATATTCTTTTTCATCAAGAAGAAAATCTCTCCTCCTTTGTCAATGCTTAGACCGGAGAAGGTCCCGCCCTGAGTGCCATACACCCTTCGCACCTCGGGCAATCTCGTAGCGCCCGTCGTACAGAGGGTATACTACAACTGCAAAGAAAGCAAAGAACTGCCAGATAATGGCCACCGTCGTCCAACTCTTGAAGAAGGTCTTCTCAAAGATGTAGTCGCGATACAGCGGCATCGGCCAGAGAATAAAGGTGACCAGAACGATGCCGACGAACATGTACCAGGCAATACGGTACCATTTGTATAGCAGCTTGATCGTGTCTCCGTCGAACGGATGACGAACGTCATCTAGATTGACCTTGCCATTCAGAATAGCATCCCTTGAAAATACCGCAGCTGGAGCCTTTTCGTTTCCAGCCGTGGCTGCCGTTCGTTCCGGGTCCGACGCCTTTTCGGGACTCAGCAAGGAGGGTGCGGGTCGTTGTGACTCGGAAGTCGATGAGTTGTTCCCATCGTCAGTGTCCTTCTCTGCTTCGGTGCTCTGTTTCAGCTGGACTTCCTCCGCGATTTCTGTAAGCAGAAACCTCCTCCAATCGAACTTCTCTGGCTTGTACTGCGAAAGCAGAACCGAGTACAGAGCAGGTGAGAAGAAGGAAGCGGTTGCCCCGTACAAGGCTGGCAAGCTTTCCTCTGTTGTCTTCAGGTTGATCTCGCCGTAAATAACATGGGCTGTTCCAAGCCAGATGCCCAGCCCGGTGAGGAAGCCGAGGATAGGGGAGACAATGGCTGCCAGGCGAGTTTGACCTGACCAGCATAGAGTCAAACCCAGCGGAATGATGCCAGGGCAGGAAAGAATCGGGCGGAAGTAGCCGATCCACGTCATGTCGGCGCCTCCGTAGTTCAGAGCTAGTGAGATGACAGTGATGAACACCGCATGGAAGACGACAGTCAGATGGCTGACGTGCACCAGCTTCTTGTCTGAGGCTTTGGGGTTGATGTAAGTCTTGTAAACATCAAAGGACAAGATGCTGCTGACTGCAATCATGGACGACGAGACGGTGCTGGTTAACGCCATGAATACTAGGACTAGGAAGGCGTCGATTCCCTGGTCACCGATCAGTGCCTCAACGGTGTAAGGCATGACGAGTCCTGCGTTGACTTGTGCCAGTGTGAATTCTTGCGGGTAGGCGGGCCAGATTGGAGTGTTATGAAGCGCTCTTGCGGTAAGACCAATGACGGTGCCGAGACCCCATGGGATGCCAAAAATAGCTGCGGCCGCCAGGTTATATCCGGGAACGGTTGCGTTGACTTCTGTCGCGAAAGACTTTTGCCAGAACGCAGTGTCCTGTTAAAAGGGTCAGTTTCATAGTCGTAGGGATACTAGAATTGAAAGTACGTACCATCACAACAAGAGCCAAGTTACCAAACTTCAGAATCAATCCCCAAATGATTGCATCTCGGGACTTCATCGTAAGCAAAGACCCCTTGTAGTTACCGTCGATCATGTTCTCCGAAGCTGTCGCTACGACTTTGTCGTAGAGACCTCCAAGGCCACCGACAGCATCGTGCGTGAGGACCTTGAGCGTGAAGTAAATGATGAGGACCAGAGCAATCAGCGTGTGCAGGTAATCGGTAATGAAGGTAGCCTTCAGCCCGCCAACAGCGGTGTAAAGCACGACTGCATGGCACCTGATTAGTCTCAAGTTTCCAGTAGATCTGCAGGGAATGCTAACCTCCAAGAGGGATAAGAATCGTTGCAGCCACGAAGTGCATTCCCGAGATACCGTAGATAAGCTGTGACCCTGTGAGGATCATGCCTGCACAGCCAAAGACGTTGTTCGTGATGTTGAGCACAATGAAGACAATGTGTCCAACCCAGCCATAGCGCATTCGAATGATTTCAAGTGACGTGTGGGCGTATGGAACTCGGATCTTTGCCAGGACGCCCAGAGCCGCCATCAGAGCGATCTGGAAGCAGAGACCTGTTGACCACCACTGATAACCACATTAGTGACATTCACACTTAGATAGAATTGTAGATTGAACGTACGAAAGGCACTGCAAGACCAAATTTGTAACAGAAAGCCGCCGAGAAAACTGTTTCGTTGATCCACATCCACGAGGAAAAGACCGCCGACGCCGTCAGCCCAGTCCCGACAGATCGGTTGGCCACCATGAACATCTCCGAAGTGCCCGAGTCTTCGGCCAGGTATGCCTTTTGAATCTTGACGGCTGCCAGAATGACACCGCAGAACCCGATGCCTAACCCGATGAGCATGCCATAGCCGGTCGATTGGGGGATCAGGGTCTCCCCCGACACGCCCAACTGAACCGACATTCTCAAGGCCTTGTCTTTTCTTGGTACGGAGAATAAAGAAGTGCGCCAAGGCAATCGAAGGCAGAATGTTGGCTCGAGGACCCGTGAGCCACTCTTGGCCTCCTTGGCCCAGGAACGCCCTCTCTTAAGAATGGCCGTGGCTGCAGAGCTTGACTTCAACCCGAGATCGGTATCCCAGAGCCCCAGTTCTCGGTCACATCTTAGATGCCCCGCATTGCGTTATGTGAACTCAATCCATGTTGGCAGCTACCCTGATTATTCACATGTATAAATTCAGTTCCGGGTCCATACCACAGGAGCAAGTTGGGGACTGTCGCGGGAGAAGTTGGTGGCATCGGAGGATTTCGTGAGTGGGGGTCGACGTCTCGGTAGATCGCAATCGGTTGCGTGCGATGGTGCATTATGTCGAAAGAGCCACCCATGCGTAATCCCGCCAAAGCTATTGGGTCTTTGTGGTTTCGAAACACGCGCGATCGGCAATCCTTCAAGACGAGATAACAAGATAAAGTTATGACGGTAAATCGAAAGACTCGAGCAACGGCGTCCTCGCGCGTCTGTTGAATGCAATTTTCTCCATTCAGAGAATCTAGTAGCGCTTGGCTTGAAAACACATTCAACATGACCAACACGACGAACCCTTCTTTGAGCGAAAGCACACCCAAAGCCAAAAAGCAAATCATTCTCAATGCCTTTGTAATGAACACCCCCGGCCACTTGGCCCCGGGTCTGTGGAAGCACCCGCGCAACAAGACCGACCAATACAAGAAACTCTCTTTCTGGACCGAGCTCGCGCAGTTGCTAGACAACGCAGGCTTTCACGCCATGTTCATTGCCGACACCCTGGGCCCCTACGACGTGTACAAGGGTCCGGCGAACGTGGTCCCGGCCCTGGCCTCCGGTGCGCAGTTCCCCGTCAACGACCCACTCTACTTGGTTCCGGCCATGGCGGCGGCCACCAAGAACCTCATCTTTGGGGTTACCGCGAGTTTGACCTACGAGAAGCCTTATTCTCTGGCACGCAGGCTGTCGACGGTGGACCATCTGAGCGAAGGACGGCTGGCATGGAACATTGTCACTTCATATCTGGACAGCGCCGCGCGAAACCACGGCTTGCAAGAGCAGATCCCACATGATGAGCGTTATGCAATTGCCCATGAGTATCTGGAGGTGCTTTACAAACTCTGGGAGGGCAGCTTCCGCGACGATGCAGTCTTGGCTGATCGCGAGAGCGGGACTTACATCGCCAGCGATGCGGTCAGTCAGATTCATCACAAGGGCAAGTACTTTGAGGTAGCAGGGCCGCATTTCGTCGAGACGTCACCACAGCGCACGCCGTTCCTGTTCCAAGCTGGTGTCTCCGAAGCTGGAAATGGTTTCGGGGGCAAGCACGGTGAAGCCATCTTCATCGGCGGTCAAACTATAGAAGGCGTCCGGAAGACGGTGGACAATCTTCGGAAGATCGCAGCCGAGGAGGGGAGAGACCCCAGCCACATCAAGATCATCTTGGGCATCAACGTTATCGTGGCAGCAACAGATGAAGAGGCCGAGGCAAAGAGACAAGACTACCTAAAGTACGCCGATACCGAAGGAGCCCTCGCGCTATTCGGCGGTTGGACGGGAGTCGACCTGTCCGGATACCCAGATGACGAGGACTTTCTCATGACCGACTCTCCTCGCATCCGGTCCATCGTTCGTCGCTGGTCAGATACCGTCCCTGGCACAGACAATCTCCCCTGGACCAAGAGGCGAATCGTCGAGTACCTCAGCATCGGCGGTATGGGCGCCAAAATTGTGGGCAGTCCGACAACGGCCGCTGACGAGTTGGAGCGATGGGTTCAAGGCGCCGGTGTTGATGGTTTCAACCTGGCTCATGTTACGAACCCCGGTACTTTTGAGGATATCATCGAGCACTTACTTCCTGAACTGCGAAAGCGCGGAATCTTTAGGTCTGAAGTCGAGAAGGAGGGAGCGACAGCAAGAGAGGTGTTCATTGGGTCAAGGAGGCTGCCTGAAGACCACCCAGGAAGCAAGTACAAGTGGCAGGCTGGTGAGGATAGACCACCGTTTTTGGGAAGGGAAGACAAGAAATCAGGCCAACTTTAGAGCGTCTCACGGATTCAACAGGTACAGATACTATGTCACTACACGTTACACATGAATCTCATGTACCCAGAAATAAACCCTTTCATTAGGAGAAGCTTTTAACACCTTTCTATAATTCTTTCGTCAAGTTACCGAAAAAACCAATCCATTGGGGCTATCGCTCTGACTGCTGCTTACTTGGGTTTGTGTTCGCGGTTACGGACTCTTGCTGGCTGAGTCAATTATGCCCGTAATTTGAGGGGAGGATCAGCCTCTGAGGTCAGTATACTTGAGGGGTCAATAGAATCTACAAAGTTGTGCCAGCAAGTCTGGCCCATCCCGTGTGAGCTGAATACTCGACAAGAAGTAGTCCACACAAACGACAATGAGCGCACTCTCTGGTTTCGGCACCTTTAGCATCGTAAGTAACACCAAAAATGACTACATCCCATTCCACATGGTTTCATAGAACTTTCGCAGCGGCGCTGCCATTGTCACATTGACACGCACCAAGTCGAGACATCGCGTTATGTATATTTATGCTTCCCTGTGAGATCGCACGTTAATCTTGCCTCCATGAAGCTCTATCGGGTGATTCAAGCTAGGCGAACAAATCGCATCTTCTGAATTCGCCTCATTTCTCAAGTCCCCCATGAAAGCTACAAATATTACAGATTCTAAAAGTATTGCTATGAAGACGCAAATCGGTGCTGAGCACCGTCGATCGCACAGGCACAGGCTGCTCAACGCATTCGAGAACAACCGTGATCCGTTTTGCGACAAGACCGTCACAAAATGGGCATCGCCGCTCTTGTATCAGACCACTAAAAGCTTGCTTCACTGGCGTCTTTCATCGTTTACGATATCGTCAAGAATACTCACCAGGCATGAGTGGCCAGCCACAAGTCGGTCCCGTCCGTGATTGACAAGCGTGGTGTTCTGGAAAGCGTTACAGGAAATAGTTGAGACAGGTGCCCGAACAGATGCTCCATATCAGCGCCCCAATGCTCTGAAGAGAGGGCAAAGTAACTGGCATTCTTAAAAACGATTCAAAGTCTGATTCCTATCCTACGCCGCCAAAGAGGCACATGAGAAAACTGAAGATGCTACCATGTTATTAGCCGACTATTTTCCATTCTGTATGTCGGCCGTGAAGTATTCTAGAAGAAACGATGATCGACTACGACAGCAATAAACAACAAATTCGGTCTATACTGACATCAAAACCTGGAATGTACTTGGCCGACGCAACGTCGCGCTCTGTGTCAGAATTATGATTGAGAATGAGCGGTCCTCTATGACGATGATTTGTGCTGCGGTGTCTCCTCTATCAAGGCTTTCAGATTTTTAGTTAAGATCACGCGCGAAAGTACAAGTCTACAGTGAATTAGACTCTACCCCTATGACTCATGTGTTTGAGCTGGAGCTTTCAAACTCACACTGAATCGTAACTAGACACGTATTTTGATGATGGTTATCAGCGCATCTCGCATTCGACTTCTTGCTAACAACGCAATCAATGATGGCTTTTCGGAACATGCGTGAAACTTCCCATGATGCTCTCAACTGAGAGGGAATCATGTCGGAGCACTTCTCCGTTCAAAGACAGGCTCAGCGGTGTCGTCCTTCTTAACCGACGTATACAGCTACAAATACTGTGCAGATAAAGGTGCCAACCGCTGTGTATTTAACACCTGTAAACAAGAGACGCAGCATACTCAAGAAATGACCCAAAAAAAAAACGTTGGCTCTGTGGGGTCTTGGTCTCATGACCTAAGGTATGGCAAAGGAGCAAGCCCGCATTGTGTCATTCTCCCAACGGACAAGGAAATTCGGGATCCTTAAACACCTTTCCTATCATCCTTCGCTCTTCTCAAGTCGGTGAAGCGCCCTCTTTCTAAGTGCCGGGTTGACATCCAACTTCGTCTTTCTCAACATCTATTTAAGACTGACGTGGAGGCTCACTTGAGGCCGCCTAAGACAGGACAATTGCCTGGTAGATATTGCGATGTGTTGCTTCGTTGAACGCTCTAGACGAAGGTCTTGTGTAACCAGACGTTCGTGACGAAGACAGTTCTCAGAACACCAATATGATATGGAGGCGGAACCACACACATCGTCCGTCAAGTATTCGCACAGCATACACTGAGTCCAACAACGCCCAGAAAGCAAAGCAGAGCAGCGCTGCAGAGGCCGATTAATCCGCGCTTTCCTAATAGATCGATCAGGCGTTGCTCCTCATCTGTAAGGATGAATGTACGTGTCATGAGCGAGCGGATCTATGGTTCGTGGCGATCCATTGGGCTGGTATTCAACATGCAGAAAGGTGCTGTATTTATATTTGAAAAGAAAACTCGACAAAAAAGTGCGGCCAATACTGACACTCCCCGCACAACAATGTATTACAATCTCTTCTGGTAGGTAGGTAAGTTTTCAAATGTTTCGTCTGTGGCATAGCATATTCTGTGCCAATCGACCAATCAGAAAATTCCTTCCCAAAACTCCGCCGGTCGCCGGCCGGACTCGGGTGAGAGTGGGTCACCGCGGTCCGTGATCCGGAGCTTTGGTATCCTTTGTCCGGCTCACCTGCCTATTCCGTTTGTATCGCTCCGTGTCACTAATGAGTCGTACCAAAAGCTCTTCAAAACTGTATTTTTCAAAAATCTTTAAAAACATCATCCCACTTACCGAACGGCACAATATCAACTAACTCCAAGAACCAAAACCAAATCACCACAAAATCTACCTGCGTCAAGGATCATAAATATCAGGCTCCTCCTCGTCGCTCACCTTGACCTGTCCACCTTGCACCTGCTCTACAATCTCCCCAATAAGCGGCCCGAACCCCTCCTCCGCCAGCCCCATCCCTCCCATATCCACCTCATTCGCTTCTATCGTCTCCCAATCATCTAACAAGT